TTCTCCCAGCCAACTTTCAGAATCCTTTCTCCTGGCCACCTATCACCTCCCCTTCAGGAGTGCTCTGAAAACTGAAGTCATCACAGGCCCATTTATGGAAGAGACGGAGGCTCGTGAAGATCTTGTTCATGAGAAGGGGAAGGAATGCACCCCTCGGCCTGGGAGGAGGCCTGGGCCACCACTTTGCCTGCCATGATGCCCCCTGACATGTCACTTTCAGAAAAAAAGCTGCCACACCTTCCTCCCCGGGACACACCTTCTCTCATTTCCACAGAGGATTATTTTCCTTAGCTCACTGACATTATTCACAGCAAAATGAAACAAAACAAGCCAACTCAAGGTGCGTGTATTCTTCGAGGGCCAGCAGTTCAAGCATGGTGACTTGAGAGACTGAAAAAGTACGAGGTCCCTCTCTCCCAGAACTTAATATTTAGTCTTTTTTTGTATGTGTGTCCGAGTGTGCAGGGACAGGTGTGTGTTCTGTAATACTTATTTGCGCTTACAAATCAGTGCCTTTGGGAGCCGGCCAAATAGCTCAGCAGATTAAAGCACCTGCTTAGGCAGACAGTAGCCAGGGTTTGATCCCTGGTGTGCCGAGCCGGCCCTGCCCCCGGAGTGTGCTAAAACAGTGATTGAGACTGGGCCTGGTGGTGTGTCCTAGGTGGCGTTTCCTCTCTGCTTTTGTTAATTTCCTGTAATCTCAGCTCTTGGGAGGCTGAACACAGGTGGATCACTACAAGTCCGATCTATGTAGTGAGAAGCTATAGACACTGTCCTAAAATACAAAATGCGAAAAAAAAAAAAAAATCAGTGCCTTTGAATTCTGTTGGCAACTGAAATGTTCTTTTACCATTCGTTGCTTTGCTTCACAGACTACCAGCAGTAGAAAGCAAAGCTTCATGGGGCGAGGGGGTGTAGGTCCAGGCATGCGAAGGACAGGAGTGCTCTACTACTCAGCGTGCCTTTCAGTCCCCCAAACTTGCTCTCCTCAGCCTGTCAGGGGGCTCACATGAGGACACACATCCCCTGCCAAGCTGAGTGGAGGGTGTTAGCAGTCAGAAATGCCTCAGGTAATCTGAAAGCAGTCACACTGGGACGTTAAGTGGCGTTTCCTCTCTGCTTTCGTTGAAATAAAGGTGTGTCTCAGTTACGGCAGGCGTGTACTTGGCATCAGGAAGACCCGCCCCCAAAGCACCACCATGGTACCAACCAGAGCTCTTTGCCTACCTGGTGAAGCTATAGATTTCTTTCTAGGAAAAGAATTTTTAAAATACAACAAAAGGTAAAAGTACCACAAAGAGTGTTCGTGTTATTAAAATGCAGTTACCCAACTACTAAAATAACAGTTTGTGACCCAATATTTTTTGTTTCTCCATTAATGTATTAAACACTACATTTCACTTAGGGCTGGTAAAAATAGTTGGCCCTCTGAGAAGCTAATGCCCATCCTGAATTCTACACAGTCATAAGAATGGTTCTTTTGGCAAGGATTTCAGCAATTTTATGCTCCAGATGCTAAACCTGAATGGGGTTTACAATTTAGTAAACATTAGAAAAACAGAAATTCCTGGGACCTAGCTTTGATTTATTGACTCAGAATATCTGAGGTTAAAAAAAAAAATCCATGAATCTGCCTTTTAAAAATTGCTGGTCCTGTCCCCGGGGTGCACTGAGAAGGCACTTGAGACTGGTCTTGGTGGTACGCTCCTGTAATCCCAGCACTTGAGAGGCTAAAAACAGGAGAATCACTACAAGTCAGATCTAGTATTGAGACCCTGTATACCCTGTCCTAAATTCATAACAACAACAACAAAAAAAAACCTTTAAAAATTTTTAGAAATAATTCTCATGCGTATTCCTTTGGGGAAATCTGCTGAGCTCCTATAGTATGTCCCAATAGTTTCTCCACCAAGAATTTAGAATGCATATTATCTTTCCTAGTTCTCATGGACCTCGTGTTTTTAAGGTCTTTTTCTATGAGTTCAGTGGTCACTCATTCCTTCCCCTATTAATATTTACATCCACTTCACCCATGTACAATGTACACATTCTATACATTCATCCTGTAACCAGCCCACTACCAAGATAAAAGTCCCCCAGAAGGCCTGAAGCCAGTTTATCTGCGTCTCTTTGGCATCCACCCTTCTCCACTCCAGTCCCTGGCGGTGGCTCTTCTGTTTTCTGTCCTAGTTGCCGACTTCTAGGTTGTCACCCAAGTGGCGCCTGCAGTGTGTGACCTTCTGAGGGTGGCGTGTTCCTCTTAGCATAACACACTTGGGGTTCTCCATCCAGCTGACCAAGATTGACTTTCACAAGTGTAAGGAGAGATCTTCCCATGATGCTCTGCTGGATCCTCCACTGTGCTCTGCCACCACTTCTGCAACTGTGTTTGTGAGGAACGCTGGCAGCTGGGCTGCGATGTCTTTGTGTGATTTTGTTATCTGAGTAATAAGATGTGTAGAGGAGCACCCCTCCCTCTTCTGATCTTGGGGTGAGGACGTGCAGTCCATGTATCTCTCATAGTATGAGTCCAGGTGTCGGGGAGTGAACCTCAGCTTTGAGGTCCCTCAGACAGAGCCCACCTCAGGGCCAGCACAAGGTGAGCACCTCCTCTGGGGTCTCTGATGGGCCACCAAGCTCCCTCTCTGGGATGAGCTGATGTTTCTTAGCGAGCATTGTCACTGTGTATCCGGGACACTGAAGGCCTCGAGAAAAGGAATAACCACACCTGTGTAGAATCAACCTCTCCTCCTTGGTGAATGGAGGCCAGAGTGCTGAGTGCTTGGCACAAGTTGTTGCCCTTCACCCTCCTCACAGCCCCAGGATACAGGCACCGCGTCACCCCAGTCTATAGATGGGGAAAATGGAATTTAGTCAAGCTCTCCACGTGCAGTGCCTGCAGACTCTGTGCTCCATCCACGGCCAGGGCGTGCCTAGGGAAGCCCCTAAGCCTCCCCGGACTGCAGTGTGTGGTGTCAGCTAGAGACGATGACCCTGCCCTTCAGGTGTGTTATGCAGGTAGGATCTCACCCCTGGCAAGGTGCCGAGGGAGTGTCTATTGCCCTAAGTTCTCTACAGAGGGAAGCTCTGTGGTGTCCTCTTCCTGTTGTCTTCATTCTCTGTGCAGACAGAACCTTGAGAGAAAGAATGTGCCCCCTACCTCCTCAGTGAGAGTAAATATGAAGGAAGGCAATGGAAGGACAGCTGGGCCTCCCAGGTCACAGAGCTGCGAGGCCCGCGGGGAGGCTGTCCCTCTCACAGTCTTCCTGGCCCGTGGAGGATGGGGTGTTATCTGCTCCATAAAGCTGGCCAAATACTGTTCATTCTCACCAGATCTGCGAAGAGCGTCATCCTTGGACTCCCTTGAAATTCTCAGGGGAAACTGGGCTCTCTCAGGCTTCTGTAGTGGGGCCATGTTGCATGTGGACCAACGGGAAAGGTCCGGCTCACGGAAGCCCTGGAGGGGAGGGAGGTTTGGTCTGGTTTGCAGAAAAAAATAAATCCTACGTTAGTGGGACTCCAGTACCCATCATATTAAAATACAAAAAGTCTGGTTGAAAAGAAAAGCATCAGCTTCATATACTCGCAGGTGGAATATTATAATGAAAACAGTATTTCACAGATTCCTGACTAAGGAGCCCAAAGGGGGAGCTAGAAAGCTATGTCTGTCTGTCTGTCTGTCTGTCTGTCTGTCTGTCTGTCTATCTGTCTGTCTGTCTGTCTGTCTCCTCTCTCTGTCTCTGTCTTCTCTGTCTCTGTTCTCTCTCTCTCTCTCTCTCTCTCTCTCTCTCT